ACCAGCGCCGACCAAGCAACCACCAGACCCTCTAACGGAGCCAGATCCACTGCGATTCACAATGGGACAGCGTCGCCGGCGCCCACACCCGACCAGAGCCGACCAGCGCCGACCAAGCAACCACCAGACCCTCTAACGGAGCCAGATCTACTGCGATTCACAGTGGGACAGCGTCGCCGGCGCCCACACCCGACCAGCGCCGACCAAGCAACCACCAGACCCTCTAACGGAGCCAGATCTACTGCGATTCACAATGGGACAGCGTCGCCGGCGCCCACACCCGACCAGAGCCGACCAGCGCCGACCAAGCAACCACCAGACCCTCTAACGGAGCCAGGTGTGTGTGATCTCTGTGTGTGTGTCGTGTGATCTCTGTGTGTGTTGTCTCGGTATGTGTTGTCTCGGTGTATGTGATCTCTGTGCGATCTCTGTGTGTGTTGTCTCGGTATGTGTTGTTTCGGTGTGTGTGATTCTCGGTGTGTGTGATCTCTGTGTCTGTGATCTCTGTGTTGGGAGCTCTGTGTGTGTGTGTGGTCTCTGTGGGTGTTGTCTCGGTGTGTGTGGTCTCTGTGTGTGTGATGTGTGTGTGATCTCTGTGTGCGTTGTCTCGGTATGTGTTGTCTCGGTGTGTGTGAGTCTCGGTGTGTGTGATCTCTGTGTTGTGATCTCTGTGTGTGCGTGTGTGGTCTCTGTGTGTGATCTCTGTGTATGTGGAAGAACGCGTAGCAGGAGGCGCGGAAGAAGTGAAGCGGAAGAAGCGGGATGAGACATAGAAAAGAAGAACCCCACACTAAGATGTGGGGAACAATGCGACAAAAAAAATATGCATGTTCAACCAAGTATTTCACTCTACTCATGGTAACTTATTGGTATTAATCACGCGTGGGAACCATGAATAAGTTCCTATATAGTGGTTTCTGGAAATTTGTGCATATATATAATACTGGAAATTTGTGCATATATATATCATACTGTATATATAGAGTATGTGTATATATATTTTATACGTACATAATATATATATATATACCTATGATATACTAGATACAAAATATATATATATATATACTGTATATGTTTTTCTCACGGACCTTTTTGGTTCTGTTGTCTGGTAGCTCGGCCGTTTTGGCCCTGAAGCAAAGGGGCAGTTGCGTTTGCTGGTTTTTGGTGTAAATCCTCTGCAGCTGCTTGCTTGGATGCCAGTGGCCCCCTTTGGCCACCGCACACGCTGCAGTAGGCCCGATTGGCTCGCCGCCATATCTCATGGGTCGGATGCCCAGCCCATTGATTGGGCAGCTCCCAAGCTCCATTCCAGCAAGGGCTTTCGTGAAGCTGCTGGATCTTCTCCCTCACAGAGTTCCGCAAGGTTCTCATGCCACATTTCTCACACACCAGGTAATTGGTCTGGATGCCAAGCTTGTGCCCATCGGCTGGATGTTCTGTCACAATCCGCTGGATGTAGGCTTGCTTGGTCTCCATTTGCTGGTCTCCTCCATGCAAAGGTAACCCTGCTCAAGCTCACAAGCCTCGTCCTTGGCATGTCGCATCTGCTGCATGGTCATGTGTTGATGGATCCTGCGTTCGTAACGTGCAATGTGCACTATATGTTGAAGCCGGCGATTTTCAGGGATCAAGTGGAATTTTGGAGTTTGGGTCAGGGTGGGGGCTGGAATGGGTCTAGGTGACCTTACCCTGTGCTGTTTTGCTTTGTGTTTGAGCGTCTGCGCAGATGGTTTACAGGAAACCGGTGACAGGCCAACAAGCACACCATGACGTTGGAAGTAGGTGAAATTGCAGAAACTGACCTGGAACTGGTAAAGAAAAACCCCACTGTCACCAGGATTAATACCTAAAAACATCAACATTGCAACACCAACCTAGTAGGAAAACACATTGTTCCCACCTATTTTGCAAGACATTCACCATCACAATTGTAGTGTCACAACTACCTCTCCACCTTACTCCGGCAGAGAAAATACAAACAATTACCAAATTTGTCTGATGTGTATGCACCTTTGCTTTCTGGCAATGGCTGTGCACATGGCTATGGGGGCGATCAAATCCATAGTGGATACCAAGTCCGAATTAACGAATTTACAATTACTTCAGTGTACAGAAGGCTTGATTGGAAGAATGGGCCTTGGAACTACCATTCCCACAGAAAGGATTGAGATGGCAATTTGTGCCAACGCAGGCGTCCTCCGCATGTCCTTCGAGACATTTTCTCTGGATGTTTTGCCAATCATTTGGTCAGATTTGGGTCTTGTTGACCTTTCTCAAGATGCATGGGAAGAGGTCAAGATCCTTATCCGTGGCCATGAGCTAAAAAGAAAACAAACAAAACTACCGCAGAACATGAGGAGGAGCTCATCTGGAATCTTCCAAGATGCATGTTCAGCCACATCGAGACTTAGCCCAAGAACAGGACTTTGTTCCCCTTCCTTTGCCCAGGATGCTTCAGAAGACACAGCTTCAATAAATTTGTCATCATTACCATCTGTCAGGGATGAGGAATTGGCACGAGAAAATGAACAACTACGGCAGATGTTGCAAAAACAAAAGGATACGATAGAGCTTCTATCTTCATGTCTTCAGCAAAGTGATTGCAAACTAGCTGAAGCCAGGTGCAAGTTGAGAGTTTCACAGCAAACTCAACGCCGGACCGAAGAGAAACTGACTCAAGTTGAAGAGGACCTAAAGTCAGAGAGATCAAAGCGGATGCATGAGTTTATGATTAGCAAAACATCAGATATTTACAAACGGCAGAAGGTTGATTCTGTAGAAGCAAAATGGGAATGGTTGACTCCACAAGGATGCTTGTCACTCGGGATTCGAAAATGCTTGTCGAATATTTCACGCTCTGACTTGGGCATTACCTTGTGTGATGACATTTCCAGATGGACTGTGGCGAGACAAGAGCTCAAGGTTTCAGCTTGCATGGTTGCAGATTCATGGAAGTATTTCTATCAATGGAGAGTGAGTTGCCATGATGAACCAAGCAACAACTTTCAACCTTGTACGATTATATCTTTCCGCCAAGATCGCACTAACAGTGGCATATGGAATCGCTCAAAGCTTATTGCCCTGGAGCTTGAGACAGCCTACAAAGTTGACATTCCTTGCAATACTGGCAACAGCGGGTCTTTGCCTTCTTCTTCACCTCCGCAGTCGTATGTTCATGATGCGCTGCAAAATTGGCATCGTTTGAAGCGCCTTTCAGATGTCCAAATTGTCAAGTGGGGTTCAGGCCGCGCTACACTGGCTTTGACCCAAAAGATGCTGGAGGCTCTCCGCTGTCCTCACTGGGGTGACACGTGTCCTGGCCAATACGTTATTTAGTTTGCTGGATCTTTGTTTTGTGTGGGGGTAAAAGGATCAAACACATAAAGCTTGTTTTGGCTTCCAGATGGCTTTGGACTTTTGCTGAACCCAGGCCCCGAAATGACAGTTGTTTGCTGGTGTTTTTTGCTTGTGTTTTGTTTCGTATTCATTCCACTTTGAATTCACAACTTCACAACTAGATTGTTTTGGTGCCTCTTGTTGTTTGCATTGCAGTGCTCCTTGGAGCAGCGTTGGCAAGGTCAAGTGCAAGTGCGTTTGGTTCCGGGATTGTCTGGTTCGTGTCCACAAGCGACCGGGGATCAATCGAAGTCACGAACCGCAACATGACAATGTGCATCGTGGAGGAAATTGAACAGGCAATCTTTCTTGACAATGATTGCTGGGAACACTCATGCCAGCTGTGTGTTCTCGGCTCACTGAAATTGGTAGATTCAATGGTGAAGCATGGATTGCCAGCAAAGCATCAAAGGTCTTGGAGGTATTGCAGCAGCATTGCTACTGTTTGCAATGTTTGCAGGGACATCGCAAGAGACGTTTTTGAGATGTGGAAAAAACACTACGGAGCTG